ACAGGCGAGTTTCAGCTGACGTCATTGTTATTAAAAGCCCGCGTTGCTGCTGGGAAATATTTTGGTCGGAGGCAAGAAACACGGTAGCGTCAAACACAGTGCGTAACCTCGCATATTTCTCCCCGATAATGGTAAACTCCTGCTGCATTATCGGATGCACAAATAGAAGCACGGAAGAAGGAAAATGTCTTTTTCATATTCTGAGTGAAAAGAACCACTAACGGTGAATTAAACGACTTTCAAACATCCGCAGAGCAAACGTAGAAGATCCTAACAAACCGTGGACTCCAACAAGTTCAACAACACATCGAGACTCTTGGAGGTTTTCATCTTTTCTGCTGTGAATGGCCCAGGAGTTTCCACCAAGTCATTGTGGATATCGACCAAGTGAATATTTGTCCAGGGAGTTGGAGATTCAGACCAGAAATTTGGTTTGGTCCAGACTCTGTCGGGGGTGAAAAGGGTGATTTGGCGTCTGTCGAACAATCCGGGTAAAATTAAAATCAAGTAATTGTAAAGTTTTTGACAAGTGAACGTTAATAAAAAAAAAGAACTAAAAAAAAAAATGAGTGCAAAGGAAATAGGCTTATAAAATGCTGATATAAACTAGGACTAAGGTCGCAGTAGTGTCAGTAGTACTAGTAGTAGTAGTAGTATTTCTTGTACTTATACTTATTAAATCTTGTTTTCTTCTCAGATGGAGGTGGGGTTGGCTGCAGCTGAGGCCATGGAGAAAGTCCACGGGATGAAATATGTTGTGGGAACATCTCCAGACATTCTGTGTAAGTAAAAAAATAAAATAAAATAAATAAATAAATACTCCAAACCACAGACTGTATGAAGAAGTTCCAGTCAAATGAAGCTCACAGAGGCCTGCACTTATAGAAGCAAATTTGGAGCCAGTTCCGTCGTAGGAATTGATTTTCGGACAAAATTGCGAAATAAAAACACCAAAATCATCTAGAGTGGGTTTATACGAACATTAAAACTATTTTGTTATAGTTTTTGTCAATATCATATTTTCACTGACTCAAAATAAATAAAAAGTTCACATAACTGGTCGTCTGAAAGTACAGATATTTTCAAATATTTGATACTTTGCAGTTAATACTTGTATGCACATTTTAATTTAGTTTTTGGATATATAAATATTTAAGACAAAAACTAAATAAAAGGTTCTTGTCAAAATGAAAACTGCTGCAAAATAAAGTGCACCAGCTATTTTCTGACCTGTTCTTCTCCTCACACAAGTTTAACGCACAAACACTGCAGATTTAGACGAATAATAAAGAAACAAACGTGTGTGAATGAAACAAAACACAACTCCACGTCTGTTTTTGAGGAGGGAACAACATTAGAACATGACTTAAAGTTCTCAGAGTCAGTTTTGTGTAGTGTAGGACTTTTAAATGTTAAAAAACGTGAGATTTGTAAGGTGAATTTAGAATAATGCTGATCATCAGTTCATAGAGGTACTTGTAAAAAGAGCTGCAGTAGTAGTTGAAGTGGTAGTAAGTCGTAGTTCTGATGAAATACTCTTCCTCCTCTAGATGAACACTCGGGCTCGTCTTGTGACTGGGCTCGTCTCCAGGGCGTCCCCTACAGTTTCACCTTTGAACTGCGGGACAGGGGGACTCACGGCTTTGAGCTTCCGGAGGATCAGATCCGTCCGACGTGTGAGGAGGCCTACAGCGGAGCTCTGCACATCATCACCCACGCTCACGACAAAACCTTCAACAGATCTCCTGCTCGTACTGCAGACGCCCTGTGGGGGGCGCTGCTGCTCACTCTGCTCAAGTGGATCATGTTATAGCAGGGGTGGGCAAACTACGGCCCGGGGGCCATATGCGGCCCTTTAAACCTTTTAATCCGGCCCGCCAAACTGGAATAAATTACAATAATAAACCTTGTTGATGTTTTATTTTTCATGCGTTTCCCAGTAGATGGCGCACTATATAAATATACATTGAGGTGCGGCGTATTATGTTGGCCGCAATGCTTTATGGGAAAGTGTTCTTACAGGAGTTAAAGTATGTGTGAAGTGAGTGAAGTAGTGGTGTTCAAGATATAACTTTGCACTGCTTCCATTTTAAGTTGGTAAAAATTAAAAACGAGAACTTTATAGACGTCGTGTTATGAGACTAAACACACAGAATGTCTTGAGAGTCTTGTTGAATCGCCCGTGACTGTGCAGCGTGGGTTCTGTTTCTTTGTAAAATCTAATTCCTCACAAGTCACTTTCACCTGTGCCGCGCAGTGGAGTGGATCTGTTGGTTTTTGTGTGTTCTGATCTTTCACGGTGATGTCGTAGCGCGTAGTGCACTTCCTACATAAGCCAAAAGAGGAATATAATGCAGCTGAGCTCTTAACGCGTCATGTCTTGTGTTCTGTCCGGCCCTTCAGGCAAATTTTAGGACCCTATGTGGCCCGCGAGCCAAAAAGTTTGCCCACCTCTGCTTTATAATGATAATGTTTAGTTTCAGGCCTAATGTCGTGACCCTTGCAACTTCACTGTCAGAATATACTGACTAGAAAATAATGTATTATTTATGATTGATTGAGTCGTTTTATTTTGAGTTTGTGTTTGTGAGAGAAAAAACATTTACATACTACATATTCAAATAATAAAATAAAATACAGAAAAGCAAATTTCTCAAAAAGGAATTTATGTTGATGAAGCTATAACAGTGAAATGGTCTGGTTGGCAGCACTTTTACCATAATGAGACGAAGAACAAAACACACTCACTTGCATCAGTAGGTCTTTCTTATCTCGTATCTGTCAGCAGCTCCTCCAGACATGAGCCTGGACTGTGACTTTGAAGACAGTTGAAGATTATTTTTCAGTAACTTTTCTACTGCTGTTTGTGCTCACCATCATTTCACCAACATTTCTGTAAGTATTATCAAACTATTCTTTTTTGTTGTAAATTTTGTTTACACTTATTTGCATTTGTAATGCAAATTATATTTAAAATTTTCATTTATTTTAGCTACTAAAATGGATAATTATGAAGATTTATCTCCCGAGATGGAAGAAGTTAAAGTGGCAATACAAAATGGAGATCTTGTTTTGGCAGCAGCCTGTGCAGAAAATGTCTTAGAAAAAAAGAAGAATACAACTCTTGACATTGCCATTACAGGAGAAAGTGGCTCTGGTAAATCAACCTTAGTGAACGCTTTAAGAGGCGTCAGTGACAGAGACGAAGCAGCAGCTCCTGTCGGTGTCGAGGAAACCACAGTGGAACCAAAACAATACAGTTACCCAAACAATCCCAAAATTAGAATCTGGGATCTTCCTGGGATTGGCTCCAGGAAATTTCCTGCGAAAAAGTATCTGAAGAAAGTGGGTTTGAGAAGTTTGATTTCTTCATTATCGTCTCTGACACTCGCTTCAGAGAAAACGACGCCAAACTCGCTCTGGAAATTCAAAAGATGAAGAAAAAGTTTTACTTCATTCGTTCAAAAATCGACAACAATATAAGAGACGCAGAAAGAAGCCAGAGGGAGTTTAACAAAAAACAAACCCTTCAGAAAATCAGAGATGACTGCATTAAAAGTACAGTATCTTTAATTTTTTTATTACATATTGATTACATCATATTTTCATTCTTATAATCTGTGTTCATATTAATTCTGTTTTTAACACTATAATTTTGTTTGTATGCAGATCTTAAAGAGCTGAACATTGAGTCTCAAAGTGTTTCTGGTGTCAAGTCCTGAGCTTCATTTGTACGACTTCCCTTTGTTTTGTGAAACCCTCCAGAAGGACCTGCCCGAGCTCCAAAGAGACGCTCTTCTCTTGGCTCTGCCCAACATCAGCCTGGACATCATCAACAAGAAGAAAAAAGAGTTACATAAAATAATTCTGTTAAAGGCAGCAATGTCTGCAGCAGTGAGCAGCTGTACCAGTCCCTGGTTTCTCTGCTGCAGTTGATGTAGGTCTCATTGTGTCATTTGCTGTAAAATGTCAGAAATCCTTTGGTCTTAGTGCTGCAGCTCTGGAAAATCTCTCACATTTGTCTCGTGTGCCTCTGGAGGACTTAATGAAAGAGTTGAAGTCTCCATTGGCTGCCACACAAATAAGCAAAGAGCTTTATGATCAAGGTGTTAAGCACCTCTGCAGTATACATACTATCACTGGCCCTGGAAGAAGTGAGCAGATTCATCCCTGCAGTTGGCAAACCTGTGGCAATGGGTTTGTCTTTTACCACTACTTACAGAGCTCTGGAATACTTTCTCAACAGTCTGGCTGAAGATGCACAAACTGTTTTCACCAGAACTTTAGGAAAGTGACTTCAACACAGAAAAGCTCTGGAGGAATGAATAAATGTGTGAGTGATTCAATATTACTTCATGTGCTTCTTGAATATTATAATTTCAATTTTATTTTGTAGACTTTGATGTTTTGCCTGATTTTTTTTTTTGTGTTTGTGTAACACGAATTTAGTAAATTAGCAAACTAAATGTATCATGTTCATAATAAACTCATAATAACCTCTCTCATTTTTAAAGTTGCATAATTTCTCTTCTATCTAACTTGCAGTCTGTCAATGTCACGAGGATTTGTGATGTTGTCTATTTTTTTGGTGCAATCTGCCCAGCATAATGTTCAGTTTAATAAATGTTTATTACGTGGTCATTAACATAATCACTCACGGTGCTACTAGTGATGTTTTCTACCGAGCCTCTGGTGTTACTCACGTGGGCGAGTCATCGTCAGGCGCCAAAACAGCCCTGATTTTTCATAGTTTCTGTTGTTTGTCAGCAGAGGTCGCTGTATCGGACCATTGTGGTGATGAAGTTGATCAATTTATGTTCGTACCCTCAGTTATGGCTCCTGGTTTAGTCCTGGTTTAGTCCTGGTTTAGTCCTGGTTTAGGTCTCTGGTTATGTTCTCACCTACAGTCATGAGCTTTGGGTAATGATCGAAAGAACACGATCTTGAATACAAGCTGTATATAATTACAGAACACACCAACGTGGTTTAGTAGCTTTGTGGTGTATGTCTGTTTGGCATGAACTCCATTTGTGTTTCACTGATTATTTCCTGAAGTTCATATTTTATCCTTTTGGCCAAAACTGAGGCAAAGATCTTATAATCTGTATCTAAATATTTGTCAATTTCCTCTTTCAATTGTTTATTCTCAATTTCTTCTTCTTCATTAGGATTTGGACTGAGCAAAACTTCCATTATCAGAATTAGTTCCACAGTTTTGATTTGCTTGATGATCAGTCTGCGGGGGATGATCCGGTGTAACATTTCCAGAATTTGAAATCCTTTTCATGAGAACGAGTTTCTTGAAGGAAAATAATTTCAACATTTTTCTTTTACTAAACATAAAAATTGGTTTTGTTTTGGTATTGTCTCTCAAGCCTCTGACATTTAACACATTTTATTTTATAGAACAAAAAAAATTTTGTTCATTTGTTGTCATCAAGTGTTGGACCTAAGCGCTCATGGACTTTAATGATTTATATATTTAACACTTCTTAAGTTGCATTATCAAAAGAGGTAAAATTTAACTCCTGTTGAGTGAGAAAACACATAAAAACACACACACCCAATGATGCGTATTTGCTTCGGTTCACAGGTCAGTTCAGTTCAGTTCTTCCTGGATTTGATCGCTGTGGTGAAAGTAGTTTTGGTTTTTGTTTCCCTGTTTTTCGTGGCTTTTTATCAAACTCTTACAGCTCCACAGTCTGAACACTGGTGATAAAACACTGTAAACTTTGGCAGCAAACTGGACAATATGACCTGTTTAGTATCACTCACACCATGGTTCATAAAGTTCAGATTTAAGACTGGTTAAACTGGTTTGTGTTAGATTTTACTATTGATCTGAAAACATATAACATCAGTACGATTTGCATGAGTTGAAGTGTTTGTATCACCAGATCCTCCAGACACGAGGAGCTGCCCAGACTGTGAATGTGAGAACAGTTGAAGTTTTCTTTTCATCAACTTCTGTAAGTAATAAAAAATAATATTATAAAATATATTTTATGTGATACCATGTAACACTATTTACAGGTAATTAATATTGTATAATTTATTTTAGCAGCTAACATGGCTAATTCTGAAGATCTTTCTTACGAGATAGAGGAAGTTAAAGTGGCGATGCAAAATGGAGATCTTGTTTTGGCAGCTGCCAAGGCCAAAAATGTCTTAGAAAAAAAGGAGAATACATCTCTTACCATTGCAATCACAGGAGAACGTGGATCTGGTAATTTAACATTAGTGAACACTTTAAGAGGCGTCAGTGATGATGATGAAGCAGCAGCTCCTGTTGGTGAAGTAGAAACAACAAAGGAGCCAACTGAATACAGTTACCCCAACAATCCCAAAATTAGAATCTGGGATCTTCCTGGAATTGGCTCCATTAAATTTCCTGCTGATCAGTATCTGAAGAAAATGCGTTTTGAAAAGTTTGATTTCTTCATTATCGTCTCTGACACTCGCTTCAGAGAAAATGACGCCAAACTCGCTCTGGAAATTCAAAAGATGAAGAAAAAGTTTTACTTCATTTGTGCAAAAATCGACAACAATATAAGAGACGCAGAAAGACGCCAGAAGGACAAAGATCAAACCCTTCAGGAAATCAGAGACAACTGCATTCAAAGTACTTTTTTATTTTCATTTCATAATGATTATATTTACATTCTTATAATGTTGTGTTGTGTTAATGTGTTAATATTTATTCCGTGTTTTTGACTCTATAATTTTATTTCTCTGCAGATCTTAAAGAGCTGAACATTGAGTCTCCAGAGGTTTTCTGGTGTCTGCTCATGAGCTTCATTTGTACGACTTCCCTTTGCTTTGTGAGACCCTCGAGCTGGACCTGCCCGAGCTCCAAAGAGACGCTCTTCTCTTGGCTCTGCCCAACATCAGCCTGGACGTCATCAACAAGAAGAAAAAAGAACTACAAAAATGGATTCTGTTAAAGGCAGTAATGTCTGCTGCAGGAGCAGGTGTTCCATTCCCTGGTTTATCTGGTCTGATCGATGTCGGGATCATTGTGTCATTCACAAAAGAGTGTCAGGATTCCTTTGGTCTTAGCCCTGCAGCACTACAAAACCTCTCATGTTTGTCTGATGTGCCTCTGGAGGAGTTATTGAAAGAGTTGAAATCTCCATTGGCTGGAAAACAAGTAACCAAAGACCTTGTGATAAAGGTGCTAACCTCCTCTGCAGTAAAAATAACATCAACAACAGTAGAAGAAAGTGATCAGATGGATCCCATTTGTTGGCTCAGCAGTAGCAGTGGGTTTGTCTTACACAACAACACTCAAAGCTCTGAACTACATTCTCAACACTGTCTGAGGACACTGTGGGCTTCTACCCTGTGTTTTTAAAGTTTCATTCATATGTTAATACGCCCTGTAATTTGCCCTGTTACATGCTGTGTATGTTTTTGGACTTTGGAGTGTCAATGGTGAATGTATATGGGACAGATAAGGGGTGTATCTCCAACCTTTAGCATCTGCCAGTCTGTTATGGGACACGTGTTGGGACAAAGTGCTGTGTATGTTTCCATGAAGATGTTAACTCAACAGTTATGCTGGTATAAAAGGCACCCAGTTTTTCTGTGCATCAGTGGGGGAACGCCGACCGCGTTGTCGAGGGACGACCGACGCACAGAGAGACGCCGTGTAGGCAAAATCATGCTGAATCAACTTGAATCTTGAGACCTGAATCTGCCTGAACTTAATAAAGAGACATGTATGAGAACTGATCTAACTCTCCAAGTCTCTTTCTTAAGATCCTCTGTTTAGGCTGCCTCCAGGAGAAGCTGACAACGCACAAACTGTTTTCACCAGAGCCTTAAGAGAGTGACTGCAACACAGAAAGTCTCTGAATAAATAAATAAATGTGTGATTTTATATATTTAATGTGCTTTTTGATTATAAGAATTTCTGTTTTATTTTGTAGATTGTTAAATTGCATTTGCATTTTTTTGTGTTTAATATCCTTAAATGTAACATGAATGACTGTGTGATTTCATTTCTGTTAAAGAAGCAGTGATAAACAAAGATAATTATCTTATAAAACAGTGGACTCAGTGTAACATGTTCATGACAAACTCATCAGACTCTGAAGTCTTTATTCATTTTTTGTCTAAACTACAATAAACATCTAATAAGAACTTTTCAGGTTTTTCAGTTCAGTGTTTGTGGTTCAATGTTTTTCAGTTAGATCTTGAACACTCATATTGATAACAGCTCCTGAAAGTGTTTTGTTTAAATCCCTTTTGTAATGGGCCTATTTTTTCTTGAGTTTTCAGACAATCTTAAAAAAATGTTTTGGTAGTGTTTGCAAACACAGTGTCACTGATGTCGCTGTAAAATTGCAAAAAGTTGTCCATCACAACTTTAGATTTAATAGGCTAAATGTTTTTTTGTTTAGTTTTTTTTACATACAGGCTAGAACAGGGGCGGGCAAACTTTTTGGCTCGGGGGCCACATAGGGTTCTAAAATTTGACTGACGGGCCGGACAGAAGACGGAACATGACGTGTTCAGAGCCCGGCTCCATTGCACTCGTATTTACCCTCATGTAGGACGCGCTGCAACTTTCAGACATGTAAGTTCCAGAACTCATGAAAAGTGAAATGAGGTCTGCCCCACTGCACAACAAAGGCAAACATGTGTCCCGAGCACTAAGACTGAGCGCATAGACATTATACAGACTTCAAGACTTTCTATTACAGTGAATATGGGTTTTATGACTTCGTTTTACACAGTTTTTTTACATGGAAGTGGAAACAGTGCAGCCTTATGTCTTGAACACTTCTACCTCATTCATGGTCCGAATACATCGCCCGAAATGACTCCTGTCAATACTTTCCCATAAAGCATTGCGGCCAACAGAAGACGCCGCACCTCAATGCGCCATCTACCGGGAAACGCCGGAAATGCAAGAAAGATAAAACAGCAGTAAGGTTTATTTATTATAATTTGGTCAAGTTCTGTGGGTCAGTTTGAACGGCTGCATAAGGTCACCGGGCACTAAATAACTGGATACAGTATTGCTGCTTGTTTCTGCCTCCAGTTGACGTAGTGACTCACTGGAACTTCAGCAGAAAAAATCCCATGGGCCGAAACAAGATTTTTCTCATAGAGGCAATGTGATCACAAACTGCTCGTGTTCGTCTGACATCACCTACAGCTTTCAAACATATCGGATTTGTTGGCGATTTTTACCTATTTTTAGATCATAAACTTTTTCTCGCTCAAAATCCTTCAGTTGTCTTAAAAAAACGCTTTATATTCGTTAGCTCCGGCTCCGCTCTAGCTCCTCTCGCTCTGATTGGTCAAAACGATCACGTGATACACGAGCCCGCGCTCCGTGCGTGTGGTCGCATTCGCGTGTGCCTGTGGAGAAAAGAGCACTACTGCGCATGCTCGGTCGGCCCGCAACCTAGCCATGCTGGCTAATCTGATCATCATTGAGCCGTGGCCTGGAACCTGGGGACTGGACTTCTCTGCAAACAGACTGACTGACTCACATATTAGGAAGCATTGATATAGTGACTGAATTATTGAGATTTAATTTGTACACCCTTTGTCCTTAATTAGTGCAATCTTATGTCTTGAACACTTGTACCTCATTCATGGTCCGAATACGCCGCCTGAAAATGACTCCTGTCAGTACTTTCCCATAAAGCATTGCGGCCAACAGAAGCCCCCGCACCTCAATGTATATATAGTGCGCCGTCTACTGGGAAACGCCGGAAATGCAGGAAAAATAAAACATTAACAAGGTTTATTATTATTTATTCAAGTTCGGCGGGCCGGATTAAAAGGTTTAAAGGGCCGCATATGGCCCCCGGGCCGTAGTTTGCCCATCCCATCCCTGGGCTAGAATATAAACTAATTTCAGAGCTACAGTTCACAGTCTATTCAAACCAGAGCTACACGTGGTAATGTTTTTAATGAGTCTCTGATTTGACTCATGTGTGTCCAGTGGTTTTTAGTGTCCAAAACAGCAGGTATCTTTTGTTCACAGAAGATAATTTACTTATTTTCTAAGGGAACTTTAGGGCCTCTGCATTAATGCAGCATTACAATGAAGCATTTTGTTTCTGTGAATCAAAATACTTGTTTAATCAAACAGCAAAGGACGGTTTAAATACATGTAATATATATTATATTTTAATTTTTTTTAAACAACACAAATATTTAAATAAGACATTGTAATCTGAACTCTAACCTCGATTTCATTCATACACAAAATGTCAAACTTTAACAGATTAAAATAATAAAACAAAACAAACCCAACGTATGATTTAAAACGACAGCAGCCACTTAAATCACATATAAGTGTTTTTGTTTCATTCATTGTAATATTCCCTTTACATTCACCTGCAACATTTATAATCTTCCATAAAGTGTGAGGCACCAGCAGGGGGCAGTAAAGTTTAATCTGTACAATCAGCACATGTCACTGTTTATGGACCAATGTATAAAACATTTAACACCAGGACTAAATGTTTTGGGTTTTGGACATTCTGTCTCAGTATTGCGAGAGAGGGACAGTGCCTTGGTGGACGTCTTTGTTTGTTTCATAGTTTTATGGCTTTTAGTTGGAGTGTTTTCAAATACACAACTATAAAATGTATAAAAGTAATAGAAGTTAAACCTTCAGCAAATCTCCTGCTCGTACTGCAGACGCCCTGTGGGGGGCGCTGCTGCTCACTCTGCTCAAGTGGATCATGTTACAGAGTTGTTATTTTCTGAAACTGTCATAATGTTGATCCAAAAACATTTCTAGAGTTGTGATCATTATTTTTATTTTTGTCACACCCACAGTGATAAATAAAAGTTAGAAAATGTCCCCACCAAATATTTTGTGTCTGTGTTGGATTTGATCTCTGTGGTCAAAGTAGTTTTAGTTTCTGTCTCTGTTTTACATGGCAATTTTAATACAACCTTACAACACCACAGATAAAATACTATAAATGTTCTTCTGTTGGCAGTAAACTGTTTAATACAGCCTGACACACCATAGTTCATAAAGTTCAAGTGTTCAGATGTAAGACTGGTCACTGGTTTGTTTTAGATTTGACTGTTAATCTGAAAACATTTTGTTGTTGTTTGCCCATTGTTGGCCACATTTCAAAATGACCATATAAGGTCAGTGCGACACACCCACTTGTACGAGTTGAAGTGTTTGTATCACCAGATCCTCCAGACACGAGGAGCTGCCCAGACTGTGAATGTGAGAACAGTTCAAGTTTTCATTAACTTTTCTACAGTTTCCTGTTTCTGCTCATCACCACGTGTTAAGCTGAACGACATTTCTGTAAGTAATAAAATAAATGTTATAAAATATACTCTTTATGTGTTGTGATGTGTAATACTATTTTTACATGAAATTAAAATCTTCACATTTATTTTAGCAGCTAACATGGATAATTGTGATGATTTATCTCCAGAGATGGAACAAGTTCAAGTGGCGATGCAAAATGGAGATCTTGTTTTGGCAACTGTCAAGGCCAAAAATGTCTTAGAAAAAAAGAAGAATACATCCATTACCATTGCAATCACAGGAGAACGTGGCTCTGGTAAATCAACCTTAGTGAACGCTTTAAGAGGCGTCAGTGATGATGATGAAGCAGCAGCTCCTGTCGGTGTCGAGGAAACAACACTGGAGCCAAAACAATACAGTTACCGCAACAATCCCAATATTACAATCTGGGATCTTCCTGGAATTGGCTCTAGTCATTATCCTGCTGATCAGTATCTGAAGGAAAGTGGGTTTTGAGAGGTTTGATTTCTTCATTATCGTCTCTGACTCTCGCTTCAGAGAAAATGATGCCAAACTCGCTCTGGAAATTCAAAAGATGAAGAAAAAGTTTTACTTCATTCGTTCAAAAATCGACAACAATATTAGAGCTGCAGAAAGACGCAAGAAGGACAAAGATCAAACCCTTCAGGAAATCAGACAAGACTGCATTAAAAGTACTGCACTTTTTATTTTCATTCATTGTGTTAATGTTTTAATATTCATTCTGTGTTTTTGACATTACAGTTTTGTCTCTGCAGATCTTAAAGAGCTGAACATTCAGTCTCCAAAGGTTTTTCTGGTGTCTGCTCCTGAGCTTCATTTGTACGACTTCCATTTTCTTTGTGAGACCCTCGAGCTGGACCTGCCCGAGCTCCAAAGAGACGCTCTTCTCTTGGCTCTGCTCAACATCAGTTTGAACATCATCACCAAGAAGAAAAATAACATACATACATTTATTGTGTTCACAGGCAGCAGTGTCTGCCATAGGGGCAGGTGTATCAGTCCCTGGTTTATCTGCTGTGATCGATGTCGCTCTCATTGTGTCATTCACTTCATCCTGTAAAAAATCCTTTGGTCTTAGTGATGAGGCTCTGCAGAATCTCTCATACTTGTCTGATGTGCCTCTGGAGGAGCTTAAAGAAAAGTTGAAATCTGCACAAGTCTGGAAAAAAATTATCCAAGAAGTTGTGGTCAAGGTGTTAAGCACCTCAGCATCATACATAACATCAACAGTAGTAGTAGAAGAAGTGAGCAGGTGGATCCCTGCAGTTGGCAAAGTATTTGTTATGGGTGTGTTTTTTACCACAACTTACAGAGTTCTGAAGTACATTCTCAACAGTGTCGCTGAGGATACACAAACTGTTTTCACCAGAGCCCTGGAAAAGTGACTCAAATAAATGTGTGTTTGAATCAATATTTCTTCATGTGCTTTTTTATTGTTATTTTTCAGAATGATCATAGACGATGTTATATTTGATAGTTTGTGTTTAATTTCCTGAAACGTAACATGAATTAACATATGACTTCATATCTATAGATGCAATAATAAATAATTAAACTGAATCCAACATCGGCCTGATCGTAATCTGAATTCTTTATTAGTTTGGTGAATCTGTGTGTGTATTATTGGATGTCTTATTATAATAATGATACAAGAGGAACCCTTCTTGATTTTTAAAGGTTCTTAGTTTCCTTGTGTAGTTTTCACTTAATCTACATTCAGGCATTTTAAAGGGGCTCGATGTAGGATTCTCTGTAAAAAATAACTGTTTTTCAAACCCATTACTGTATCTGCTCTAACCTGATGCCAAGAGTGAAAATGCAGCTGCCACGTTTACCACACAGCTGCCTCTAAAACTCTGTATCAGGAGTGTAAACTCCATTCAGAGTCTCACAGTTTCCCCTGGTGGGGGTCAGGTTGTATAACCTCTTGTGGCTGTTAAAATTAATCTTCTGTCTGCTGCGCTGAATCCCCATGCACATGTATCGCTTTGGGTGCATCATTTGCCCAACTTTTTGAAACATTTTTGAAAATCAATCTGTACCTAGTATCAATATTTTACACTTGCCAAAGTAAAGTTCTGTGAGAAATTTCATGAAATTCTATTGATGTTTACTGGGTCCACCAAGCCTCTGAAGTTTAGTGTCTGCAGAAACCTTAAATCTGAGCTGAAACATCAGTTTTTCTTTAATAACATCCTTATTCTTTCTGGGAACTTGGGTTTACCAAACCCTGAGCCGTACCTGTCATTGGGACGCTATCTCTCTGATCACTACAGAAAGAACAAACTTTATGTCTCTCATTTCATCTTTGGCCTTTGTTTATACTGGATAATTATGAAAAAAAAATCTTGACAAAATTGTCATTTCATAGAAAGTTATGTAAATAAATATATAAAATTGGTACCAAAAGATGCACAATAGCAACATTTATATTCAACTTTCTTTGACACCATGGCCCTGAATGGATTATTTTTAAAGTTATTTGAACTAATTAAACTATTTAAACTGATTTTCTTTTATTTGGTATTGTCACATTTTAAAATTGGCTACAAGTTGAATTTATGAAATTGGGACAAATGATGTATTCTAGTATCCCTTCATCCCTTCTTCTCATTCTCTTGCTTCTAGTACATCAAGAAACACACAGTTTCTAATATTCTTCTCCTTATATCAGGCAATTTCTCACTTTCTCATGGTATTTCTGCCCATGACAGTTCATGTGTCTGTTCCATCTCTCTGTGTCATACAGAGATGCTCTCGCCATCTCGCCTCTAACTCCTGCTCATGTTCATGCTGTGTCTGCTGGCTCACATCATTCTACAGCAGCTCTCATGTCTCACTGGCTCACACTTTCTCCACATTTGTTGTCTTTAATTGTTTATATCGTGTCATTATCGCTTCCTTGGCTCTTTATCTACCATGCTAGTGCTGCTCTTGCTAATTATACTAATTTAATGTCCCCTCACCTCTCCATCCCTCATATCACATCCTCTCTGTGGTACAAGCTGCTGCCAGTGAACACACCTCCACCACACACCTCATCCCATTCCACCATCTCTCTTATTCATCCTTCATCCCTCCATCCATTATTACCTGGTCCCCGAAGGTTTGACCAGGTTTTGTATTCACCCTGTGTGTGTGTGTGTGTGTGTGTGTGTGTGTGTGTGTGTGTGTGTGTGTGTGTGTGTGTGTGTGTGTGTGTGTGTGTGTGTGTGTGTGTGTGTGTGTGTGTGTGTGTGTGTGTGGTGTGTGTGTGTGTGTGTGTGTGTGTGTGTGTGTGTGCGTATGTGTGTGTGTGTGTGTGTGTGTGTGTGTGTGTGTCGGGGTGTGTTTGTGTGTGTGTGTGTGTCTGTCCACCCACGATAATTCTGACATTTATGGACCGATTGTCACCAAATTTGGTTTGTGGGTCAAGCCCCTGTGCCCGATGACACAAAAAAAGTTGTGATCTGAGGTCATTTGAGGTCACACGGGTCAATTAAAGGTCAGGCCATTATAAAGGATCGGCAATTTCAGCAGTTTCTGAACCATCTGCGGCCTAAAATATTCACCCAATCATCACACAAGTTGGAATATGTATGTACACATGTACATGTACATGTGTATGTACATGTACATGTACATGTACATGTACATGTACTACACATGTACATGTACACATGTACATGTACATGTACATGTGTATGTACATGTACATGTACATGTACATACACATGTACATGTACATACACATACATATGTACAGGAATCAAAACTGAACCTGTCACTCCATCCATACATCACAAACATACAATACAATACATGGGGAAGACTGTGTGGACCGGACTGGAAGACAGGGAGCAGACAGGAATAAACACACATAGAAGAAGGAGAAAAAAAAAAGAACAGCCCCAGACCATCCGACATCAGCACATAGTCCAAACACAGTATAAACATTTCAAAGGACTAGCATCTGGGGAGGGGAGGGGGGTGGAGTTCACCCAGTGTATCCAGATCCACAACCAGTCGGCGCTGGATGCAACAGTTCAGTTGATGCGATTGGCTGTTTAAAAAAACACATTTGTGCATTGATCACTGTCAGGAATGTGTCAACAGGGCAGTGATAAATATGTACAGTGTCTGTAAATGCAGGTTCATCAGTTTACAAAGAAATGTCACTTCACTGACATTTGTGAATCATGTAACTTTTTCTTTTGAGTCGAGAAATACTTTTATGAATGTTGTTGAATATGTTTGTAAATCATGAATTATATCTGTGAATGTCGTTATATTTGTTTCTGGAGCAGGAAATGTATTTGTGAATGGCGTGATATTTATCTGATAATAAAGACACGAACCTGACTCCATAGAATTAGTTCCATGATTTTGATCTTCTTTATGATCCGTCTGCGGGACATGACCCTGTGGAAGTTGTTTTATATATTGTAAACATTTAATGGAGATTAACCATAAATCAATCCTAGAGTCTGGTTTGATTTACCAGGACAGAAATAATGTTTTCCTCATTAAACTTTCCAGAATTTGAAATCCTTTTCAAGAAAATGAGTTTCTTGTAGGAAAATAATTTAGTCATTTTTCTTTTACTAAACATAAAAATAGTTTTTCTTTTGGTGTTTTCTCTCAAGCCTCTGACATTTAACACTTTAAATTTTATTGAACAAAAAATGATGTTCATTTGTTGTCAAGTGCTGAACCTGAGCACTTATAGACTTTAACACTTCTTCAGTTGAATTATTAAAAGAGGCTAAATTTAACTCCTGTTGAGTGAGAAAACACAGACATAGAAAAACACACCGAATGAAGTATTTGCTTCAGTTCACACTTCTCAGTTCTTCCTGGATTTTATTGCTGTGGTGAAAGTAGTTTTGGTTTCTGTCTCCCTGTTTTTTCATGGCAATTTAACACACTCTTACATCACCACAGTCTGAACACTGGTGATAAAACACTGTAAATATTCTTCTGTTGGTAACAAACTACAACATGGCCTGTTCATCACTCACACCATAAGAGAAAGTTCAACAAAACTGATCAAACTGGTTTGTGTTAGATTTTACTGTTAATCTGAAAACATTTTGTTGTTTGTCCATTGAAGCATCACATTTCAAAATGACCATATAAGGTCAGTGCGACACACCCACTTGTATAAGTTGAGATGTTGTATCACCAGATCCTCCAGACACGAGGAGCTGCCCAGACTGTGAATGTGAGAACAGTTGAAGTTTTCTTTTCAACAACTTTTCTACAGTTTCCTGTTTCTGCTCATCACCACTTTTGTTTACGCTGAACAACATTTATGTAAGTAATAAAAAATAATATTATAAAATATATTTTATGTGTTGTGATACTATGTAAAACTATTTACATGAAATTAAAATCTTATCATTTATTTTAGCAGCTAACATGGCTAGTTCTGAAGATCTCTCTTGGGAGATAGAAGAAGTTAAAAAGGCGATGCAAAATGGAGATCTTGTTTTGGCAGCTGCCAAGGCCAAAAATGTCTTAGAAAAAAAGGAGAACATAACCATTACCATTGCAATCACAGGAGAAACTGGCTCTGGTAAATCAACATTAGTGAACGCTTTAAGAGGCGTCAGTGATGATGATGAAGCAGCAGCTCCTGTTGGTGAAGTAGAAACAACAATGGAGCCAAAACAATACAGTTACCCCAACAATCCCAAAATTACAATCTGGGATCTTCCTGGAATTGGCACCAGTAAATTTCCTGCTGATCAGTATCTGAAGAAAATGGGTTTTGAGAGGTTTGATTTCTTCATTATCGTCTCTGACACTCGCTTCAGAGAAAATGACGCCAAACTCGCTCTGGAAATTCAAAAGATGAAGAAAAAGTTTTACTTCATTCGTTCAAAAATCGACAACAATATTAGAGATGCAGAAAGACGCAAGAAGAACAAAGATCAAACCCTTCAGGAAATCAGACAAGACTGCATTAAAAGTACTTTTTTTATTTTCATTTCATAATGATTATATTTACATTCTTATAATGTTGTTTTGTGTTAATGTTTTAATATTTATTCTGTGTTTTTGACTCTATAATTTTATTTCTCTGCAGATCTTAAAGAGCTGAACATTGAGTCTCCAGAGGTTTTTCTGGTGTCTGCTCCTGAGCTTCATTTGTACGACTTCCCTTTGCTTTGTGAGACCCTCGAGAAGAACCTGCCCGAGCTCCAAAGAGACGCTCTTCTCTTGGCTCTGCCCAACATCAGCCTGGACGTCATCGAAAAGAAGAAAGAAAGAACTACAAAAATGGATTCTGTTAAATGCAGTAATGTCTGCTGCAGGAGCAGCTGTACCAATCCCTGGTTTATCTGCTGCGGTCGATGTCACGATCATTATGTCATTCACAAAAGAGTGTCAGGAATTCTTTTGGTCTTAGTGTTGCTGCACTACAAAACCTCTCACGTTTGTCTGGTGTGCCTCTGGAGGAGTTAATGGAAGGGTTGAAATCTCCATTGGCTGGAAAACAAATAACCACAGAGCTTATAATCAGGTTCTTAACCTCCTCTGCAGTATACATATTATCAACAGCAGCAGAAGAAGTGATCAGATTCATCCCATTTGTTGGCACAGCAGTAGCAATGGGTTTGTCTTACACAACAACACTCAAAGTTCTGAAATACATTCTCAACACTCTGTCTGAGGATGCACAAACTGTTTTCACCAGAGCCTTAAGAGAGTGACTGCAACACAGAAAGTCTCTGGAATAAATAAATAAATGTGTGTGATTTAATATTACTTACAGTTCTTTTTATTATAAGAATTTCTATTTTATTTTGTAGACTTTGCATTTGATTTAGATTTTATATCCTGAAATGTAACATGAATGACTGTGTGATTTCATTTCTGTTAAAGAAGCAGTGATAAACAAACATAATTATCTTATAAAACAGTGGACTCAGTGTAACATGTTCATGATAAACTCATCAGACTCTCAAGTCTTTGTTTTCTGTCTAAACAACAATAAACACATAATAAGAACTTTTCAGGTTTTTCAGTTCAATGTTTGTGGCGCTTCACAGAATCAGTTTTTCAGTTTCAAATCATGAACACTCGTACTGATAACAGCTCCTGAAAATGTTTGGTTTAAATCCCTTTTGTAATGGGTGTATTTTTTTATATATAGTTTTCAGACAAAACTCTAAAACTTAAAAAAATGTTTTGACAGTGTTTGCAAATGCAATATCACTGATGTCACTGCAAAATATCAATTGTCCATCACAACATTAGATTTAATAGGTTAAATGTTTTGTTTTTTTTACATACAGGCTAGAATATAAACTAAGTTTCAGAGCTACTATTCTCTGTCTATTCAAACCAGAGCTACAGGTGGTAATGTTTTTAATGAGTCTCTGATTTGACTCGTGTGTCCAGTGGTTTTTAGTGTCTAAAACAACATGTATCTCATTGTGTATTAAAAATAAAATCTCTTGTTGGCACATGATCATTTGCTTATTTTTAACCCAACATTACACTGAAGCATTTTTATTTTATTTTTTTGAATCAAAATTATGGTATCAAAATGAGTATTATAATTATAATATTACCTTTACAATCAAGTTATTTGTTTCTTTTTCAGTTACAAGTAACTTAGAAACTTATCACCTTCCTACAATTTTATTTAGAATCACAGAAGTGGAGTGACTTATTTAATCCTGTTCAAACAGCAAAGGACGGTTTAATACATGTAATATATTCAATTTATTTTTTTAAACAACAAAATATATAAATAGGTCTAAACCAGGTCGAAAGCTCTTCTCTTGGCTCTGCCCAACATCAGCCTGGACATCATCAACAAGAAGAAAAAAAAGTTGCTTAAAATAATTTTGTTAAAGGCAGTAATGTCTGCAGCAGGAGCAGGTGGACCAGTCCCTGGTTTCTCTGTTGGGGTCGATATCACTCTGATTGTGTCATTCACTGTACAGTGTCAGAATTCTACTGGTCTTAGTGATGCTGCGCTGGTAAATCTCTCATGCTTGTCTGGTGTCCCTCTGGAGGAACTTAAAAAAGAGTTGAAGTCTCCACTGGCTGGAGCAAAGATCTCCAATGAGTTTATGATCAAGGTGTTAAGCACCTCTGCAGTATACATAACATCAATGGCTCTAGAAGAAGTGACCAAATTAATCCCATTTGTTGGCACAGCAGTAGCAATGAGTGTGTCTTTTGCCACAACTTACAGAGCTCTGAAGTACATTCTTAACACTCTGGCTGACGACGCACAAACTGTTTTCACCAGAACTTTAGGAAAGTGACTTCAACACAAAAAGGCTCTGGATAAATGAATAAATGTGTGTGATTCAATATTATTCCATGTGCTTTTTATTTTATTTTGCAAACTGTTATGTTGTACCTTATGCTTTTTTTTATTTCCTGAAATGTAACACAGTGACTGTGTGATTTCATATTTTTTTTATAAAAGCAATGATTAATGAGCTTGTAAAAGTGTGTGGTAAATGTAACATGTTCATTACAAACTCATCATACTCTTCATGGTTCTTTTTATGTGATGATTCATGACCTTTGACCTGACTAGTGCTGTCACTTTAATGTTCCTGTCTCATGTTTGAAAGGCTGAGCTCACATAAAGAAAAACAGAACTTGTCACTCAAAGTTTTGGAGTCAGGATGAGGAGTCAAATGTTTGGGGAGTTCCCTTTTTATTTTAATTTGAGTACATTACTAATGAAATAAGGTATACAACTACAGGATTACTAATACACTACTACATGAAAACTTAGTCAGTACAGGTAAGAAGTCATCATGGATTTACATTACACACCATGAAGTGAAAAGACAAATCAGATAAAGGTCAGTGAAACTACTCAAGGTTTAAACCAACCGAGAGGACAATCCTGTGTGTGCAAAAAGGAGCAAAAGGAGAGAAAAACAAATGGAGGGGGGAACACACACATTCAGAAACACACACTCAGGCTGAAATCAACAAAACCCCAGAAAAACACAGGACATGTGCGCCCTCTATAGGAATGGTGGTGTAATTACAATACACTAAAACTTGCTCACACAACAAAAGTCAAATTTATTGTTTCATATAAATTCTTAGGGGCCACTGTCGCACACAGTTTACCCCCCCAGTGTGTCCACCAGTGGTTAGAGCTGGATTGAAATCAGAAATCAAAAATTCTATCAGAGATTAAACTCAAGAACTCACTGAATTACAACAAAAATCTGAAGTTCAAAAATCATTTCAGAAGCATATGTAGACATCACACTGTTTTTTGTGTGCGCTCTTGTGGTGATTTATAAGACTGAAGGTTGAGTAACCTTCCTTGGGTTCATATGATATTTGTGAAGTCATGACCTACAAATGACTTTTTTGAGCTAAACACAAGATGTGTATTAATCTATAGTATCTTTTACAGTTAGATTATTCCATTAGAAATATCAGTGGAGCTGAGCAGTGTCAGTCGGCTCCTGCTTCCAGAAGTACATTTTTCATCAATTGTTCTCATAGACTTAGGGGGGAAAAAAGAAGAGAATATTAAAAGTTTGAAAGCTCAGGGCTGTTGAGCTACATGACCACAAGGCCAATAATTGATTTAAAATATTTAATATTTAAAACATTTGACCAAATCTTGTATTTAAATATACTATGTGGCCTTAAATAACCTCTGGTTAGTCTCAGTGATGGCTTTGAACACTTCATATTTAAATTATTTGAAAAGTTTATGAGAAAAATTTATGGAGAATTTACTTCCAGAACCAGAATCGACTGTGAAGTGGGCGGGACTGTCGAGCTCCATCTGCTGTCTGAGTTTAGGTATATCATGGGTGTTCATTTAAAAATGTTTAAATAAGTAGGTTGCCATTACAAGGGCAGAACTAGGGTTTCAGATTTTTCCAGAAAATGACATGAATCAAATCCCAGGACAAGATGATTCATTTCCCTGAAATACCGAGAAATTTTGGTTCATTTTTTGGAGCCCAATTAAGCCTTATGTACCGTATTTTTCAGACTATAAGTCGCACCAGCCAAAAAATGCATAATGGAGAAGAAAAAAAACATATATAAGTCGCACTTTTTGGGGGAGATTTATTTGATAAAATGAGAGAGCAGGAGCAGACATTTCCTGTTGAAAGTCAAGTTGTAGTAAAAACAACAGAAGAGAAAACAACAGACTGTTAACGTCACATATGAACAGTTCTTCAGATAAACTATAACATAAACAACAGAACAGAACAAGTTTAACCAAACTCTCCATCTCACTCCAAATCACTAAATCCATTCAATTCTTCATCCTCGGTGTCACTTCTGAACAACTCGGCCTCGACCTCCGGAGGTAAACAGAGCGACACAAACTCTTCTGTGTCGCTGTCGTCAGACTCAGCATCAGTTCCAGTTAGAATTATTCGAGTCTTTCTGAATCCCGACAGGATGGTTTCAGTGTCACTGAAGTTCAGACTTTGTCGATTCATCCAGTGACTTCAGGAAAGTTTCAAGGTGCATCCTCCCGGTGTTCACAAGTTTCTCTCTCACTCCAAACTTTCTTTCTGCTGCTCGATTTCTGTTTTAAATTTTCAGTGGTATTGGTGCGATCGACTGACATGATACCAGACAGGACCGCGGCTCTGCAGGGGGCATGAACAGTAGAGCCACGGGTACAGCGCCAAGTGACAGTGGAACAGGAACGCACATTTGTTTACGTTTTACAGAAACAAAACTTAAAACCACGTGGCTAATTTGCATTTGCAATTGTTACCATAGTTACGGCAGCACTGTCGCCTCCATCCATGTTACTGTGAAACAACAAATAGACGCTCACCGCTGATTTTTTTTTTTTATTAGGCTATTTTCCTGGTTTTCTGTCATAACTTTTCCCGGGAATGGAGAAATAGTTTTGATCAGATTTCCCAGGAATCCCAGGTCCCAGGATTAAACCCTAGTCAAAACTTTTTGCCTATTAGTTACATACCTTGAACTAAAAAATACAAATAACAAAAAAATGCAATCAATCTATCAAGTAACTACTGACCGTCTGCAGATTGGAACTTATAAGCCGCCTGTCCCCTATGTTATTTATTAATCACAAAATAAAATGACTTGTTTATTCCTGTTCAAACAGTAAAGGACGGTTTAATACATGTAATATATTGTATTTAGATTTATTTTAAGCAACAAATATATTTAAATAAGACATTGTAATCTTAACTATAACCTTCTTGATTTCATTTATACACAAAATGTCAAACTTTAACACATAAAAATAATAAAACAAATATAAGATCAAAAACAAAATCCCTGAAGGCAAAACAAACCCAACGTATGATTTAAAACGATAGCAGCCACTTAAATCACATATAAGTGTTTTTGTTTCATTCATTGTAATATTCCCTTTACATTCACCTGCAACATTTATAATCTTCCATAAAGTGTGAGGCACCAGCAGGGGGCAGTAAAGTTTAATCTGTACAATCAGCACATGTCACTGTTTATGGACCAATGTATAAAACATTTAACACCAGGACTAAATGTTTTGGGTTTTGGACATTCTGTCTCAGTATTGCGAGAGAGGGACAGTGCCTTGGTGGACGTCTTTGTTTGTTTCATAGTTCTGATGTTTTTGTTGTTGAGTTATGGCTTTTAGTTGGAGTGTTTTCAAATACACAACTATAAAAAAGTATAAAAGTAATAGAAGTTATAGCGACTTTACAAAATGTTCAGAACTAAACCAGGTCTAAACCAGGACTAACCGGGGACTTAACAAGGACTGAACCAGGTTTAACTCAGGATAAACCAGGTCTAATGCAGGAATAAACCAAGTCTAAACCAGGACGGAACCAGGACTAGATCTAGAGCAGGTCTACACTCCACAAGAGTTGGAGTTAACCAGGTCTAAATCAGGTCTAAACAAAGTCTAAACCAGGTCTTAAACCAGGTCTTAAAACCAGGTCGAAACCAGGACTAAACCAGGACTATATTTGGACATCGATCCTTCAACTTCCAGTGGTCTTAATATTATTTTTGGTTGTTTTTATACTTTAACTGAAGCAGCTTTCTTAAGGCTCCTTTACAAATCCTTCCATTGTACTTTAAAAACACTAATACTGTACGATCCCCAGAGCAAAACATTCTTACAAAGTTAAATTATAAATATTTAAAGGGCCCGTATTACACTATTTTATAATCTATGTTATAATTTTATTTCCTCGTCACAAACAGAACTTGAAAACAGTGGCGGCTGGTCAATAGAGGGCGCAAGAGCGCCGCACTCCCTAACTTGACCTAGATAAAAGAAAAAAAAATGTATAAAGTTGTTATTTCGTATTAGGCTGTATGTTTAATATTTTGTTTAAAATGTAACGTGTATCTGCATAGACATATTTTTATCACGTTAAATGTGCTCATATCATTTTATTTGAGTCATGTGTTTTTGAGTGCGGTGAGTCGGAGCGGCCTGATGACGTTTCTGTGGCCTGAAGTTTTGAGAAAATGTGACGTCATTACGTTGTTTCTGCCCATGACTTTACATTAGCGCTAAAATCCGTGTTTGTGGCGCAGGGTCGGAGCGACATGAAATCAACTGATTGGTTCTGAATAATAAACATGAACACACATCTGGACCTGTTATTTTAATAGATCCATGACATGAACACATCTGGACATGTTGTGGTTCAGCCCCGACTCTGCACTGACGTCATGTTACTGCGACAGGCGCTAATGACGAGAACAACAGAGTGTTTGTTGTAAAGTTATGAAGAGTTCGTACAAGTTCATCCGAGGAACAGTTTTAGGGAGTGAGAACAAGAAAAGAAGCATTAAACTGGAATGAGCTGCGGTGAGATACTACGGCTCTGATTCTGATTCGCACACTGGCTAATGGCGGCTAGCGACTTTAGCTTCAACATGTTCAGAGTAAAGCGCGAGGACAGAGCCGCCGCCGGGACCAGGACCCAGGACCCAGGACCCAGGACCCAGGACCCAGGACCCAGGACCCAGGACCCAGGACCCAGGACCCGCTCTCTGCCGGAGCCAGGGACAGTCTCTCGTTGCTCTATCCGCCTTTACCCGCTTGTTTCTCGGTGTAAAAGTGTCACTGGGCGTAGCTCTTAAGTCCACCTGGTGTCCTGGTGTTCATATGGACTGGTGTAACTTTCAGATCTAAGTTGGAAGTGAGATTAAGACAATTTTACAATCAGTTCGTGCATTCGCCTCTTGGACCTGACTGGACCAGGATTTGGACCAGTTTCATCTCTTTGTTGTGGACAATACACATTTGGAGACAGAACCAGTGGGACAGCGGACAGAGGAAACACTCTGCTTCAGTCTCTGGAGAAGGTAAGAGGCTTTTTTTTATTAGTTTTGGGCAAATCTGATGACGGAGCCTCACAGGTGAATAGTGTTGTAGTGTTAATAGTTAAATATGCGTGTTGGAGCTGCTGTTGTTCTGTCGTGTCATGTTGTGATCGTAGCCTCTTGTAGTTTTGCTGATGTTGTTGGGGCTGGGTGTGAGCGCCGTGTTACGTTGTGTTGTTGGGGCTGGGTGTGAGCGGTGGATCAGGTTGTGCTGCTGCGTAAACTTGGGTAAACCTGCGTAAAACTGCACTTGGCTGTGCGTTGTGCTCTGACAGTTCAGCCAGTAGTGACCAAAATGACTGTCTGTTTCTGTTTCGCTATAATACTATATAGCCTATATATAATACATATATTAATAATATATATTTTAAATTTTGGCCTTGGCGCCTCCCCAAATAAAATTATACCACCAGCCGCCACTGCTTGAAAACTACATGAATAAAACAAAACACAAGTCCAGTTTTGTTTTTGAGGAGGACTTAAAGCTCACAAGAGTCCGTTCTGTGTAATATCGGATCTTTAAACTGTACGTGTGGTTTTATTTTTAGTGATGCCGGTGCCCCGACGATGTTGCAGGAGGCTGGAGTTTTTCTGATTGTCTGTCTTTAGTCTCTGTGTCCGAGGACGAGTCTGTGTCTTGGGCTTGTTGTTGTTTCGTCCACATGTCTGCGTACAGTCCTCCTTTAGACAACAGCTCCTCGTGTCTGTCAACAACAACAACACACAAACACACTTTATATCTGTAAACACGTCTCCATTGATATTTTAATGAATGACTGTAACGGCACTCTTCTCCTTTTTTGTTTTGTTTTGTTTTATTTATTTATTTATTTGATTTGTATTATTTTAATCTGACTTTTTATTATTAAAAAAAAATAATAATAATAATAATTTTATTTTTATAAATTTTTAAAATTTTGCTTTTTATTATGTTTTTATTTTATTTCATTATATATTCAAATTTATTATTTTGGGGGTTTTATTTACATTTATTATTATTTATTTATTTATACACTTAGGAATAATTTTGATTCTTCATTTTTTTTTCCTTATTTTTTTATATATACTTTATTTATATATTCATATTAATTTTTTAAAATATTTTTTATTTAACTTTTTTATTATTATTTTTATTTTCATTCTATTTTGTATTTCATTTATTCTATTCTTTATTTTATACATTTTTTACATTACATTTTACATTACATTTTTTCTCCCCCCTCTGTTTGTACATTATTTAACACAAAGCTTTTACTACTTTTAATTATCTATTTTATTTTATTAAATTTTTTGCCCTTTGTTATATATATGTATGTGTGAGCTATTGTGTCCAAGCAGTTTTCCTTGTATCAATAGTTAATCTAAGTCTAAAAACATTACACAAACTTTATTTTAATTTACTGTAGAATTACATGATGAATTACATTATAAAAAGTGAAACTGAATATTTGTGTCAGACTCACCGTCCTCTCTCTGCGATGCGTCCTTCACTCACAACTAAAATCTGGTCGGCTCCAATGATCGTGGACAACCTGGAAACGGAAACAAAATAAGAAAAGTAATCAAATAAATAAACCCAAATAAATGTAAATATAAAGTGTGTTAAATACAAAACTCCTGTACCTGTGCGCGACGACGATGGTGGTTCTGTTGGCGCAGACTTTTGCCAGTGAAGCCTGAATGTTTCTCTCAGTTTGAGTGTCCAAGGCTGAAGTCGCCTGGAGAAAAACAAGAAAAAATACAGCTGTTTTTACCTGTTTTAAGCAAAAATGACTCCTGTGAGCTTTCCTCTTCAAAAACAGACCTGGACTTGTGTTTTGTTTCATTCACACATTTGAGTCTTTATTATTATTATAAAAAAGTTTCAAAAGGAGTGTCTGCTGGACCTCCAGAGGATAATACACAGTAGACAGAACTCAGTGTTACACTCACAAGGCACTCACTGGTTGAAATAAAATGCCTTTATTAATTTACGGCATGTCTTAATGGGCAAAGTCCAGACACATTTCAAGCTATGGTTTTCCTCTGGGGACAAACAGAATTCTGAGTGAACCATGTGAGTTAAACACAAGAAACTCACCAACAGGACTACTCCACCTGGAAGAGGAAGAGTGGAGATTCACCTGTGGACACTACTTGAGACACGCCACAAGAGGGCAGTGTTACAACCAAGGGACACCATAGATCAGGGGTGTTTACACTTTTTCAGCATGTGAGCTACTTACAAAATGACCAAGTCATAAAGATCGACCTAATACAAAGCCAAGCAAACTGCACTGAAACACTCTGTGCCCCTTTTTTGGACCCTCCCCCACAGTTTGAGAACCTCTTCTTTAAGAGAACTTCCTCTGGCACTTTACACAAAACTGTGAAAAAAGTGAAGGAAGATTTTTAAACCTGTTTTTTTAAAGTTCCAAACTGGAGTTACATTCTTTTCTGGTTTTGCAGTGATATTTACCAGCCTCTGCACGTTTACCAAACCAAACGCACATCGTGACAAACACAGATGCATTTGTCACTTTTGTTAGACAAACTTCAGCCAAATGTGGCAGTAGGTCTGTTCTGTAGATCCGCTCTATGCTGTAGACCTGCTTTGTGCCAACACTGGAACACAAATTTAGACTGGTTTTTGCTTCACGTTTGGTCTTGCTCTTCTAATCAGCCGCACTGTGGGAGGGGCTTGTGTTCGCTGTACGCAGGAAGGAGCGAGAGCGTGAAAAGGCGAGGGGCGGCGTGCTGACGTGAGGCAGATGGACAGGTAGGATGTTTAGGAAGTTGAACCTGCCCTGTGATGCACGCTGGTACACGAGGGCACACGCTGTCGCAGACGAGCCGTGCGTAGGGAGCGTGTGTGTTTGTGATGCGCCGTAGAGTCTCCGCGGGTTTCAAATGAGCGCACAGGCTGCACTGAGACGCCCCACACGCTCCTGCACCCGCTACAAGTTTATTACCAACAGCAGCGGCCGGAATCAAATATGATCAGACTTGTTGAGTGTCAGACCTCGAGTGAGAGACAAGACCGAGTCCAAACGCGATCGAGTCCGAGACAAGACACGGCGATCTACCCACACGACCTTGGCGATCGACTGGTAGATCGACGTATTGAGCACCCCTGCCATAGAGTGTATGTACAAAAATATACAAATGAATATATACAAAAAGTACAACTCGGTATAAAAACAGAGATAAGTCCAAATCTTCATTGAGCCCAGGATATTTTGTTGCCTGTAATTTATAAATCCAGAAAGTTTCACATTGTTTAAGTAGTTGAGTTGAGTTACTCTTTATTATTAGTCATGTAGTGGCAGTTTTCAAGTTAACATCTCCTTTTACCTGATGGTGATATGATTATTTTAATTATAGAAGTCTTAAAATAAAACATGACTTCAGTGTTACTCATAAACTGACTGGAATTTATTATCTTATTGTCCATATCATCTCAGGGCTTTTTCTCATTCACAAACACAAGCACATGTACAAATTTATTAACATTATGATGCCACTGGATTTGTGACTTTTTATAATTCAATAATTCATTCGTTTGTTAATTTCTTGCTCTCCTGAAGAGATTTTCACAGCTAGTTAGATCTTCTCCAACATGTAGTCATTAGAGTAAAGATCGGCAATTCCAGGGCTGAAATGATCCAAATGATTCTAGTGAAGGTGTGTGGAGTTTAAAAACACAGTGGAGCACTTCCTGTATCACCACATGACATCACAAGGTGGAACAGAGGATTTTTTTCATGTGTGAATGAAAACACAACTCCAGGTTCATGTTTGTGATGAGGAAACGACATTAGAACAGATCAGAAAACAGCCTAATATGGGCAGTTTAATATAGGGATCTGTAAATAATCGTCTCTTTCTCTCTCACCTCGTCCAGGAGTATGATCTGTGGAGCTTTGAGGATGGTCCGAGCGATGGCCACTCTCTGTTTCTCTCCCCCGCTCAGCTTCAGCCCTCGCTCGCCCACCTGTGTGTCATAACCTACAACACAAACACACACATTTATTTCATTTAATCTGACGACCTGTGCCCCTCCTGCCCACTGCTAGAAACTAGGGATGTGAATATTTGGCAAAAACACTATTCGAAAATCAATGACAACAATTCGAATATTATTCGAAAATCGACCCCCCCTTCCCCCGCCCGCACACACACGCGCATATACGAGATGACAGATGGGGTATTTAAGCACAAAAGGTTTAATCAAACAACAACCTTCCAAATCAGAAATGAACATCTTAATTGAGCAACCCACATATGAAACAATATGAAATTATATTCAAGACTATCTCAATTTTAAAAAACGCATGACCAAGCACATACTGTAGCCCACTGCACATACTGTAGCCCACTGCACATACTGTAGCCCACTGCACATACTGTAGCCCACTGCACATACTGTAGCCCACTGCACATACTGTAGCCCACTGCACATACTGTAGCCCACTGCACATACTGTAGCCCACTGCACTACTTTCATTGAGCTGCTCGCTGCAGAGACTCGCTCCGATGGCACAGACGTCGCAGACACACCTAAGTAAGCGCTCGCTAACTTTGCCAATCGGGGGTATTTCTGTTTGTTTTCCACCATGTCATCGGGTCAGTGTGGAGCGGGGGGCATATCTCCTGGCAGTACTGAGTTCATTTGCGCATGTTCCCATGTTTGGGCGTGTTTCACTCTCAGATGCTCTGCGTGGTAGTGGTTGATCTATGGTTTGCTCGCTTCACCTGATAGATTTTACACTAAACCTCTTTGTCATTTAACAAAGTAAATAACGACCATACGGAACTTTTACTTGCTTTCTGCATTGCTAATGCCGCTCGATAAGTTTTCTCTACACTCGGTCTAGTCTACCGCGCCTACAGGGAGTTTTACAGTCTGCTAGCGCCACCTTCTGGCCGAATGCCGTACATGAAATATTGGTTAGGAAACGTCTTTATTCTAAATTACTATTCGATATTCGAACGTATGACGAATATTCGACTATTCGAAAATCATGTCTCATCCCTAATATATACTGCCCATAGACCGGACCTGGGCATTGTCCAGCTCCAGGACCACATACGGCTCTTTGTTTGACTCTGACCGGCCCTTTTAAGCTCATTTGGAATCACAAACTAAAAGTATTTTACAGGGGTGTAACGATGTCCAAACCTCATGATGCGATATCATCAAGTATGAACCTCACGATACAATATTTATTATATGTTGGGGAGGCTCATAATTAGGAATGTAACAATATCCAAATCTCTCAGTAAGATATTTTCAGAATATGCACGATATACAGTATTTATTGCGATATTTTGTGGCGACAAAACAGCTAAAACTGTGAATATGCTGCTTTTTCCTCTTGAAATATCTTGACAAGACTTAATCCAAAAAATTATTTGTTATTTGTTCTTGTCGTCTGCACTGAAATGGAGCAAAGGATCATGGTCTATGTAGTTCCCTCTGTCTTTTTTTTTTAGCTGTTTCTGCACCAGAACTCTTCATTTAATCAGAGATTTGTGATTCGATATATTATGATGATCCACGATATTATTGTGAGAACTTTGACGATACGATATCACGATATTTCAGCTATTGTTACATCCCTAATATTTTATAATTTTACCTCTAAAACTGTATTGCTGTTATTTTAGAGATGTTTTTAATGATTTTTTTTTGTTCGAGAGCCTCACTTTTTCATTGTAATCATAATATAAACTCTTCCCAGCTCGTCAAAACAATGATATTTACTGATTTTTATAAAAAAAAATACAATATTATGCAGATTTGAGTTAAGTGTTTTGGTCCGACCCTCCACAATATTTTCTGTTTCTCATGTCGCCCACCTCGTCAAAATGTTCGTTTTAACCTGTTCTTTGTGGTACTGGTGTTATTTAGCTATTTTGACCTCAAATCAAAATATAAACATTTATAACAGACTAAACCAGGACTAAACCAGGGACTAAACCAGGACTAAACCAGGGACTAAACCAGGGACTAACCAGGGACTAAGCCAGGACTAGACCAGATTCTAAACCAGGACTAATCCGGGACTAATCCAGGGACTAAACCAGCACTAAACCAGGACTAAAGCAAAGACTAAACCAGACACTAAACCAAGACTAAGCCAGGACTAGACCAGATTCTAAACCAGGACTAAGCGAGGACTAAACCAAGACTAAATCAGGGACTAATCCAGGACTAATCCAGGACTAAACCAGAGACTAATCCAGGACTAAACCAGGACTAAACCAGGGACTGAACCAAGACACTAAACTAGGACTAAACCAAGGACTAGGACTAAACCAGGACTAAGCCAAGTACTAAACCAGGACTAAACCAGACATTAAACTAGGACTAAACCAGGACTAAACCAGGACTAGACCAGAGACTAGACCAGAGACTAGACCAGGGACTAGACCAGGGACTAGACCAGGGACTAAACCAGGGACTAAACCAGGGACTAGACCAGGACTAAACCAGAGACTAAACCAGGACTAAACCAGAGACTAAACCAGGACTAAACCAAAGACTAAACCAGGACTAAACCAGGGACTAGACCAGATTCTAAACCAGGACTAAACCGAGTACTAAACCAGAACTAAACCAGACCAAATCAGATTCTTCAGGTTTGATAATTTCGCATCCAGATTCACTCCTCTAACTTCCAGTCTCGATGAGCTTCATTTGACTGACGGCGCTTGTATAAAGAGTCTGTGGTGTCGTTTTACCATCGGGGAAAGCCATGATCTTGTCGTGGATGTCTGCGGCGAGGGCGGCCTCCTCCACCTCGCGGTCGGAGGCGGAGATTCGTCCGTAGCGGATGTTGTCTCGGATGTTGTCGTTGAACAGAACCGTGTCCTGAGGAACGACGCCGATGTGAGAGCGGAGAGACGTCTGCTTCACCTGCGCGACATTTAACAACATTTAACAACATTTAACGACATTTAACGACATTTAACGACATTTAACGACATTTAACGACATTTAAGCGACATTTAACGACATTTAACGACATTTAGCGACATTTAAGCAACATTTAACGACATTTAACGACATTTAACAACATTTAACAACATTTAACAACATTTAACGACATTTAACGACATTTAGCAACATTTAACGACATTTAACGACATTTAACAACGACATTTAAAACATTTAACAACGACATTTAACGACATTTAACAACATTTACCACTGTTAAACTAAACAACAACAAGGATTCAGTTTAAAAGAACTATACGGAAGATTTAGATTTTAAATTCCATAAACTTGACCTTTCTGTGACGCCAGATATTTACAGATTCTTATCCTGATTTATTCTTAATTACAAAAAATTTGGAGTTGTTTATGTTATATTTTGGTTTTCTTGGATTGAGATTCTTTTCTTGGATTTTCTATCAGAAGCAGAATGAGCCTCACGTGACTTTCTCATTTGCGTTTGCCAGTTTCATCGCTGAAATCCAGTTGGTTTAAATCTAAAATGTGTCTCTCTGATCTGAACGTCACGAACTAAACTCCAGAACCTGCGGCAGATCCTGAGTCAGTGCCAGTGCAGCCTCTGCGGCTCAGGGAGGGAATTCTGGAGGTTCTAAAAATACAGTTCATTAAAGCTACGATGACGGTCTGAACAGAAAACGCAGAAGTCTTCACTTTTATTCCGCGTTTAGACGAGTGTTTTCTTCTGATCAAATATTTTGTCGTTTTTCTCCGTAAGAGTTCTCGTGTAAACAGACTCTTAAAACGTAAACGTGTAAGTACCTTGGAAATGTCTTGTCCATCGATGCGAATACAACCTCCCTGAATGTTGTAGAAACGGAAAAGCAGGCGGATTATGGTGCTTTTTCCTGATCCGGACTGGCCCACCTAAAAATACACATTTAAATTTAACATAATATCAAAAAATAATGCACATTCTACATCAAATTGATAAGAAGAGTTTGGTGTAAATTACCAAAGCAACAGTTTGTCCAGGAAGTACAGTGAAGGAGACGTCGTGGAGGATTTCTTTACTGTTGAAATAATTTAAATTAATAAAAAATACATTGAAATTGAAATTAAAAAATGAAACTGTATTTAACCATTGGACTTACCCACTGGTGTAGCTGAAATAAACATTTTCAAACTCCACTTTTCCCTGTTGGAAGTTCAGGTTTCCAGCGTTGACTTCATCTTTGACCTCGAGAAGAAAAAACAAACATATTTACAGTTTATTACACAGTCAAATTAATAATAATAATAATAATAATAATACATTTATTTTAGTATTTTTATTGTTTTTTTTTTACCTCTTCCTCTTCTTCGAACAGTTTAAACATGCTTTCCATGTCTATAAATGAGTTCTGGATCATTCTGTGACAAAAAAACCAAACATTTCAACATTAGAAACTTTAGTCGAGCAAAATTAGCTGAGTAATTATTATTTTATTTAGTTTATGACATTTTCTATGGGACAAGAGCAGAAAAGAGAAGTGAGTGAGCTGAAGATTTTGTATTTTGGGGTATTTTTTATCTGTAAAATGGCAGATTAAATTCATGAAGTGACATCTTTTTTCAGCATCAATAGTAGTTTTTACATGAGCGCCCTCTGCAGGTGAAGTCTTGTGAGTGCAACTAGAGTAGAACTACATTTGAGTCCATGATTTATGAAAACTTTTACAACTTAAAGGCCGCCACACACTACACGATTTTTCAGAATCCGTGTTTTATTCGTTCATTTGTTTTTCAAAATAAAACCAAAAATAAGAAAATGAAAAAAAAAAAAATTCTTTATAAAAAAACATTATTTGTCTCCAAAACCAAAATGAAAAAACGGATAATGATTCGTTTTTGTGTTTAAATGAAAAATGGAAGAAACGGATAACGGCTGTTTCCCGTTTACGTGACTTAAACTGCGATGCCGGACTTTCGCGCCTCATACGGACTGAAATAAACCAGGACTAAAACAGGTCCGGAACCAGACCGGGATTGAGACTGGGGCTGAGACTGGGACCAGGACCAGGACTGAAAACGGTTTAGTCCTGATTCAGTCCTGGGATCAGTCCGTATTCCGGCGCAAAAGTTCGGCATCACAGTTTAAGTCACGTAAACAGGAACTGAACCAGGACTGATCCAGGTCTGGGACCAGACCGGGACCAGACCGAGACTGAGACCAGAACTGAAACCGGGACCAGACCGAGACTGAGACCAAACCGGGACCAGAGCGGAACTGAGACCAAGACCAGACCGGGGCTGAGACCGGGACCAGACCGAGACTGAGACCAGAACTGAAACCGGGACCAGACCGAGACTGAGACCAAACCGGGACCAGAGCGGAACTGAGACCAAGACCAGACCGGGGCTGAGACAGAGACCAGACCGGGACCAGACCAAGACCAGGCCAGGAATAGACCGGGACCAGACCGGAGGCTCAGAGCCCACGACAGGGCCGGAGTTCGAAGCTGAAACTTGGACCCTGCGGAGGCTTAGAGTTAAAGCTCGGAGTCCGCCCTGGTCTCGGTCTGGTCCCGATGTGGTCCCGGTCTGGTCCCAGACCTGGATCAGTCCTGGTTCAGTCCGTATGCAGTGTAAAAGTTTGGCATCTCAGTCATGGAAGTCACGTAAACGGGAAACGGTCGTTATCCGTTTTTTTTTCCATTTTTCATTTAAACACAAAATCGAAAACTGAAAAAACGAATCATTATCTGTTTTTTCATTTTGGTTTTGGAGACAAATAATGAAGAAAATAGTTGTTTTATCATTTTCTTATTTTTGATTTTATATTGAAAAAACAAATGAATGAATGATACATGGATTTTTCAGTCGTTAACGATTTTAAACTTGCGAAAAAAGCGCAAACCACAGACACGAGGAGAATCTGAAAGACTCTACAGCGTGATCTGTCTGCGGGTCACAGGATATGAAGTTGTGAGCGTGATCGTGTCAGCTGTTTCCTGTCTACAGTAAAACCACTCGCTCTGAGACTCTGAAGTGTTCAAACAATCAGACTCTGCACTTCTAGTTTAGATCCAAGTCCAAACTGTGTTATTATTTATTATTATTATTTGTGAAATGTGGAGCAAAACTTCAGATACGTGATTTTTAAAGCATAAAGATTGTAGATAAAGTCCACAGGGAGTAGAGTCGCTGTCGTTAATCTGCAGCTTCACCTCGATCCGTGCGCTGTGTGGATGTAAACAAACACACGTGAGGAACTACTCCCACCTTTTTACTTTTAAAGAACGACTCAAACTGGATTAATAGCGCGGTTTTAGTTTTTAGTTTTGTGGACTGGGTGTCATTACAAGGCTTCACAGCACATCACAGCAGCTTAATAATCGAAGACACAAAGTCGGGTCACGCCTCCCTGAACACGGGAAGAAGCAAATCGCAGCCAAAAATCGGGCAAATTCTCATGTAGTGTGGCGGCCTTTAAGAATTGACATTTTAACCTTTTCTGCTCAAAGTAATATCGATTTTATTGTTTATTTTGTATTTTGTGTGATACAGCAATGTTTTCTGAGTGTAAAAATGTCAGAATTGCAGCTCAAATGAGGCTAAAACAATCGCTGAGACCTTCAAAATAAAAGCAGTGTAGACTCACCTGTAGTAAGTCCCGAACCAGTTGAGTGGAGTGTACAGCTGAATTATATAAGTGCCAAAAAGGACAAAATCTCCAACCTGGACAATCAAATATGACAATTAAAAACAATCTCTAATCGTGAGGTTCATACGGTGACGATATCGTGCGACTTGGATATCGTTACATCCCTAATTTTAATCATAAAAACAGTAAATAAATGAGTTTTCTTTCTCTAAACAAGCAACAAAACTGTAGCTGTAACAAAATAATTTAGTAAAATGAACCAAATAAATACTCTTGGTGATATATCGAAGCAGCAGCCCACGATATCGATACTGTATCATCACATTAAACGATACGGTATACCGATATTTTAATATTTTTGCACAGCCCAAATATTAACTGTGTTTTAGTGAAAAAAGTACTCTGTAAAAGCGTAGAATATTCCAGGTAAAGCAATAATATCTCAAGTAGGCGAAAAGTGACATAATAGAGCTTTAAATCTTACCTGAAACTTGCCCTCGGTGACAAAGTAGGCGCAGAGCAGCGACCCGGCCAGAAGACCGCCGCCGATGATCAAGTTCTGAGTCTGGTTCAGAAACGCCAGAGACGCCTGAGTTTTCCATTCAGACTCCTGGAAACGAAAAGTGACACAATAGAGCTTTAATACAAAATATAAAGTCATATCAAAGGTTAGGCAGGACTAGACCAGAGACTAAACCAGGGACTAAACCAGGACTAAACCAGGACTAAACCAGGACTAAACCAGGACTAAACCAGAGACTAAACCAGGACTAAACCAAAGACTAAACCAGGACTACTAAACCAGGACTAAACCAGGACTAAAGCAGGACTAAACCAGGCCTAAACCAGACTAAAAGACTAAACAGGACTAACCAGGCCTAAACCAGGCCTAAACCAAAGACTAAACCAGGACTAAACCAGGACTAAAGCAGGACTAAAGCAGGACTAAACCAGAAACTAAACCAGGTCTAAAGCAGGACTAAACCAGGACTAAAGCAGGACTAAACCAGGACTAAAGCAGGACTAAACCAGGCAGTAAACCAGGACTAAACCAGAAACTAAACCAGGTCTAAAGCAGGACTAAACCAGGACTAAAGCAGGACTAAACCAGGACTAAACCAGGACTAAACCAGGACTAAACCAGGACTAAACCAGGGACTAAACCAGGACTAAACCAGGCCTAAAGGCAGGACTAAACCAGGACTAAAAGGACTAAAACAGTAAACCAGGACTAAACCAGAAACTAAACCAGGTCTAAAGCAGGACTAAACCAGGACTAAAGCAGGACTAAACCAGGACTAACCAGGACTAAACCAGGACTAAACCACTAAACCAGGACTAAACCAGGCCTAAACCAAAGACTAAACCAGGACTAAACCAGACTAAACAGGACTAAAACCAGGACTAACCAGGGACTAAACCACTAAACCAGGGACTAAACCAGGACTAAACCAAATACTAAACAGGCCTAAACCAGAAGTAAACCAGGACTAAACAGACAGTAAACCAGACTAAACCAGGACTAAACCAGGACTAAACCAGGACTAAACCAGGACTAAACCAGGGACTAAACCAGGACTAAACCAGGGACTAAACCAGGGACTAAACCAGAGACTAAACCAAATACTAAACTAGGCCTAAACCAGAGAGTAAACCAGGGCTAAACCAGGACTAAACCAGGACCAAACCGGGACTAAATCAGAGACTAAACCAGTTTATAAGAGTTTTTCACAACTTTCAGAGGCCACGGTTTTGTTTTCAGGGTTTATTTTTGCCCTTTTATAAATTTACAACATCATATTTTACCTGATATTTCAAGATGGCGTCTTCAAATCTGCTGACCTCGTAGTTTTCTGCATTGTAATACTTCACCTGTTTATCAAATTTAAACACATATTAGACGTATTCTAAAAAAATTTATATTACTTTTTTATTTTTTTATTTTACCGTCTCAAAGTTTAAGAGAGAGTCCACGGCTTTAGACTTGGCGTTGTTGTCCTGCTGGTTCATGTCACGTCTGTACTTCGTCCTCCACTCGGTGATAATAATCGTCAACGCTAAAAAAAGTAAAAGACAAAAATATTTATTATTATTATTATTATTATTATTATTATTTATTTACCCATTTTACTTTATTTTTTATTTATTTATTTATTTACCCATTTTACTTTATTTTTTATTTTTTTAATTTATATTTTATTCTTATCTATTCATTTATTTATTTTTCTCTACCCATTTTTCTTTTCTTTTTTAAGTACATATGGTCACTGAATTTAAATCTCAGACTTACCTGCGACTGATAAATTGTATTGTGCAAATATTGTTTAGTAAATATGTGAATGTGTGTGACTGTGTGAATTTGGTTTGTTATTATTATTATTATTATTATTATTATTTTTTTATTTATTTATTTATTTTTTAGTTGTATGTTGACCTGTGTTAATAATGTGGTCAGTTGTTCATGTGAATTTTTTTTTATTGTCTGAAAATTAATAAAAATATTGGGGGGAAAAAAAAAAAAAAAGACAAAAACTGTAAAAGTATGTGGATTTGAGCAGTGTAATGAGTCGGTCTGGGTACTTACTCAGGTACAGAGTCATGCAGACAAATATGATGAGACCAAACCAGGCGTTGAAGTTTGTGATGAAATAAATAATAGCGATGACGATGTCCGCGATGGTCGGGAAGATACTGAAGACGATGTAACTGCAAAACAAAACACAAAAATACAACTTTTTAATGACATTATAATTGTCAGGAGAGTAGCAGGTCATTTACAGAACTTTAATCTGGATTTGCATTGGATTTGTATTTCAGAATCAGTCGATACTGGTTTAGTCCTGGTTTAGACCTGGTTTAGATCTGGTTTAGTCCTGGTTTAGACCTGTCTTAGACCTGGTTTAGACCTGATTTAGTCCTGGTTTAGTCCTGGTTTAGACCTGGTTTAGACCTGGTTTAGACCTGGTTAAGACCTGGTTTAAGACCTGGTTTAGTCCTGGTTTAGACCTGGTTTAGACCTGGTTTAGACCTGGTTTAGTCCTGGTTTAGTCCTGGTTTAGACCTGGTTTAGTCCTGGTTTAGACCTGGTTTAGACCTGGTTTAGTCCTGGTTTAGACCTGGTTTAGTCTTGGTTTAGTCCTGGTTTAGACCTGGTTTAGTCTTGGTTTAGACCTGATTTAGTCCAGGTTTAGACCTGGTTTAGACCTGGTTGGTTTAGTTTAGTCCTGGTTTAGTCCTGGTTTAGTCCTGGTTTAGATCCTGGTTTAGTCCTGGTTTAGTCCTGGTTTAGTCCTGGTTTAGATCTAGTTTAGTCCTGGTTTGATCTAGTTAAGACTTGCCAGTATTAAGAAACATTTTTATTAGTATAATTTTTGTATTTAGTATTTTAAAGATCCCATATTACACTATTTTCTGATCCAGGTGTGTTTTTGAGGAGGACTTGAAGCTCTCAAAAGTCCATTGTGTGTGATTTAGGACTGATCACGAGTCCTGGTCCTGACCTGAGCAGGGAGTTGATGGAGCTGGTTCCTCGGTCGATGCTCCTCAGCACGTCTCCGGTCTTTCGTCCCAGGTGCCAGCGCAGGGACAGAGAGTGGAGGTGAGCGAAGAGACGCAGCTGCACCACGCGGTTTGTGAACTGCTGAACCCGGATCCACAGGAAGGAGCGAAGATTACTCACAAAACCAGACGAGCCTGACGAGAAACCAGAGGAGAACGTGTTTAAAGATCACAAGAATCCATTTTGTGTAACTGAGGGCCTTTAATTAATAGACCGGGAGCCAGGTCCACCCCTCAGGATGTTTTTTACTCCTTTTTTTCACTATTATTTCTTGTTATCTTATATCTTGGGCCATCACGAGTTGATAGGGACCAACCTCAACTCGGCCCCGTTTGGTCTCAGGGCCCAAAAACACACTTTTTAAGAAAAACTATTTGCGAAATGATGTCACTGTAAATATTAAGGTACTGAAACCCTAAAATTTGACATGGTGGATGCTGACACATGGGGGAAACTAGAATAAAAATATTGTGGGGCTTACTGCCTTTCTACTAGGGCTGGGTATCATTAAGAAGTTGCCGATACGATACATACCTCGATACAGTGCACTTTCGATTCGATATGATATCTTTCAAATCGATTCAATACGGTTCAATAAAAAATAAAGGCTAAATCATGGCTGTGATACTAAAAGTCTTTGTTAAACCACTTCTTCTTGTCCAAAGTTCATATAAAACACAAACATTTTAATCAACAAAACTGTAAAAATGTCAAATGTGTCGCATAAATGAGTTTCCTTTCACTCCACAAGCCACAAAACTGTAGCTCTGTAACAAAATAATTTGGTAAAACACACCTAAAAATACTCTTGGTGATATATCGATACAGTATCATCACATTAAACGATACGATATATCGATATTCCGATATTTTTGCACACCCCTAGTTTCTACTGTCAAATATCACCCTCAACATCCACCAGAAGACCAAAAAATGTCTGTCCGCCTGACAAATTGTCAGCAAAAGTGATCATTTTCAAGCATTTTATTGCATTTATCACTGCCTCAAATGTACATGAAAAACTTTCCATGTTTAAAAGCTTCAATTTAAGCCCAAGACGACCTTTGTATCCAGAGGGAAACAGCTGCTATGACCAAAGATCTTCACTGTACCTCAAATCGGCAGAAAGCAGAACTTTCAGACATTACTCATAGGATCAAGCAGGATTTTTTTTTTTCCATAGAAAAAAGAGTTAACATATGTACTGCTGTACTACATGAAGTGAATTACATTAAAAGTGAATAATATTAAAACTCCAGGTGGACAGGGGTCAGGGTCAGAGAAAACTATGGTGACCAGGTTACACACACACACACACACACACAACCCACCAACACACTAACCAACACACATCCTGACCCTTCATGCAACATCTCATCAGAAGTTATTTTCCAAAGACAACTGTGAGAGAAGTTGATAATTTTTTCTGGTTATAAAAAGAGATTGAGTCTATTGGGAGGTTGGGGTCCTTTTCTAGGCCTCCATGACTTCTACAGTGAACATTAGCTACTGTCAGAGATGGGGATGGGCATTCGATGAAATTTTCTTATTCGATGATGAAAATTATTGATTAATCATTAATGTTTTTATATTAAAATGATCATCATTATTATTACTATCTGCACTAATCTGCATAAATAAATTCACCTTTACAACACATAAACCGTAACGACTCTAGATCCACATCAGCTGTTTGACATTATAATGTGTTTAATTCAGTTTTGTTCAAATCTCACAGAAACAAAACTTAAAACCACATCACTAATTTACATAAACTAAGTGAAGATAAAACTCCAGCTCTTGTGTCGCTGATGTGGTTCAACTTCTGTCGGATTAAAAGACATGACTCAGGTGAATACAGGTCAGTGTGACCAGATTTGTGTTTGTCAAAACCAGGACAGCGTACGGGGGGAGGGGGGCGGGGCCTCGTCATCCACATTGAGCGACTCTCACCTGGTAAAACTTATTCCCACTGGACACAGAAACATATGTGCTGCTTTATCCACTGTGCACATGGACTCACACTTGTCCCGAACGCAACGGAAAGCCTGGAATTTCTTGTACAAATCATCGTTAAAAACACATTTGTGCTTCGGTTCGTTACAGACTGACCCACTGTTTGTGTCTCGCTCCTTCTGATGCAGAGACACATGTACACACCTGTTTGGTCACGACACACACAACAACCTACATTCAGTTTGTCGATTAAAATTTACATAATCAATGAAATTCTTAATGATCAATTATCGATTAATCGATTAATCATGCCCATCCCTAGTCAGAGAGTAGGGGTGGGAGACAAATTATGGTGTGTGTGTGTGTGTGTGTGTGCACTCCAGGTCTGTATGTGACGAGGAAACAACATTAAAACAGATCAAATATAGTGTAAAATGGGCTCTTTAAATAAATACAGTCTTGTTTGATCATTAGTTAGATTTGAACATTGGTCTCACCTGCTCCTCCTCCCTGCAGCAGCTTCAGGAGGACGTAGATACAGACTGTAGTGGCCAGAGTGTGCCACGGGCTGTTGTCAGTCAGCTCATTCACTGAGAAGAGAAAACAACATCAATGACTGCTTCAAACAAAACAAAAACTGTCTTCTGGGACAGTAAAGTCTCAAAAAAAATATCCCAAAATAAACTTTGTTAAGCTTTATCGTTTTAACTCGATTATATGAGTTTGGAGATCGTTTGACACACAAATTGAAATCACAATCGTAATTCGATTAATTGCACAGACTTAACCTGACCTGTTCTTCTAGTAGATGTCATGACAATAAAAAAATGTCATATTTGATTTAGATAATTGGAAAAAGTCTTGATACTCCATTTCAAAAACACTACGATCATTTTAAAAACTCACTTTTTAAACACTAAACTGTAATTTGGTCTTAGACTAGATCTGACAGAGCTCCAGCTGTCAAAAATAGTTTAAGAAACTTCTAATTTTGTCCTATAGTACTGAGGAGTCAATCCAACTTTAAGTATCTTAATTAATACTTTTGAAAACCTTAATTAATATAAAGTTTGCATCTATGTTCTTGTAGTAGATGTAAAGTAGTTCGATGTTTTTAGTAGTAGTAGTAGTCATTGCAGTGAAGTCATACCTGTGTTTTTGTATTAGGTTTAAGTCTGTTCTTGTAGTAGAAGTGAAGTAATATCTATATTCTTAGTAGTAGTAGTAGTAGTAGTAGGAGTAGTAGAAGGAGTAGTAGTAGTAGTAGCAGTAGCAGTAGTAGTAGTAGTAGTAGAGTAAAGTTGTACCTATGTTCTTGTAGTACGTGGGCACAAAGACGTTGATGACTCGCTCGACTGCCAGCAGCCCCAGACAGAAGAGCACGAGCAGCTGGAGGAGCAGGTTTCCTCTGGGCCACATGTACGGCAACAACAGACGCACCTTCTGTCTGAAACCCTGCCAGGTGGAGGCGCTGTCCCCCTGTGTCCCCAACAGACTCTGAGGAGGAAACACACCACCATCAGCTCAGGTGTGACGAGAGAAGAACCCAAGATCAAGATCAACTCATGTGTAAAGAGGTAGAAGAGCTAAGGTCCTCTGTGTGTCTCTGTGGACCTCTGTGTGTCTCTGTGTGTCTCTGTGTGTCTCTGTGTGACTGTCTCTGTGTGTCTCTGTGTGTCTCTGTGTGTCTCTGTGGACCTCTGTGTGTCTCTGTGTGTCTCTGTGGACCTCTGTGTGTCTCTGTGGACCTCTGTGTGTCTCTGTGTGTCTCTGTGTGTCTCTGTGTGTCTCTGTGGACCTCTGTGTGTCTCTGTGTGTCTCTGTGGGCCTCTGTGTGTCTCTGTGTGTCTCTGTGGACCTCTGTGTGTCTCTGTGTGTCTCTGTGTGACCTCTGTGTGTCTCTGTGGACCTCTGTGTGTCTCTGTGGGCCTCTGTGGACCTCTGTGGACCTCTGTGTGTCTCTGTATGTCTCTGTGTGTCTCTGTGGGCCTCTGTGGGCCTCTGTGGACCTCTGTGGACCTCTGTGTGTCTCTGTGTGTCTCTGTGGACCTCTGTGTGTCTCTGTGGACCTCTGTGTGTCTCTGTGGACCTCTGTGTGTCTCTGTGGACCTCTGTGTGTCTCTGTGGACCTCTGTGTGTGTCTCTGTGGACCTCTGTGTGTCTCTGTGTGTCTCTGTGGACCTCTGTGTGTCTCTGTGTGTCTCTGTGGACCTCTGTGTGTCTCTGTGTGTCTCTGTGTGTCTCTGTGGACCTCTGTGTGTGACTCTGTGTGTCTCTGTGGACCTCTGTGTGTCTCTGTGTGTCTCTGTGTGTCTCTGTGTGTCTCTGTGGACCTCTGTGTGTCTCTGTGGACCTCTGTGTGTCTCTGTGTGTCTCTGTGGACCTCTGTGTCTCTGTGGACCTCTGTGTGTCTCTGTGTGTCTCTGTGTGTCTCTGTGGACCTCTGTGTGTCTCTGTGTGTCTCTGTGGACCTCTGTGTGTCTCTGTGGACCTCTGTGTGTCTCTGTGTGTCTCTGTGTGTCTCTGTGGGCCTCTGTGTGTCTCTGTGTGTCTCTGTGTGTCTCTGTGGACCTCTGTGTGTCTCTGTGGACCTCTGTGTGTCTCTGTGTGTCTCTGTGGACCTCTGTGTGTCTCTGTGGGCCTCTGTGTGTCTCTGTGGACCTCTGTGTGTCTCTGTGGGCCTCTGTGGACCTCTGTGGACCTCTGTGTGTCTCTGTATGTCTCTGTGTGTTCTCTGTGGGCCTCTGTGGGCCTCTGTGGGCCTCTGTGGACCTCTGTGTGTCTCTGTGGACCTCTGTGTGTCTCTGTGGACCTCTGTGTGTCTCTGTGGACCTCTGTGGGCCTCTGTGTGTCTCTGTGGACCTCTGTGGACCTCTGTGTGTCTCTGTGGACCTCTGTGTGTCTCTGTGGGCCTCTGTGTGTCTCTGTGGACTCTGTGTGTCTCTGTGGACCTCTGTGTGTCTCTGTGGACCTCTGTGTGTCTCTGTGGACCTCTGTGTGTCTCTGTGACCTCTGTGTGTCTCTGTTTGTCTCTGTGTGTCTCTTGTGTGTCTCTGTGGACCTCTGTGTGTCTCTGTGGACTCTGTGTGTCTCTGTGTGGGCCTCTGTGTGTCTCTGTGGACCTCTGTGTGTCTCTGTGGGCCTCTGTGTGTCTCTGTGGCCTCTGTGTGTCTCTGTGACCTCTGTATGTCTCTGTGGACCTCTGTGTGTCTCTGTGTGTCTCTGTGGACCTCTGTGTGTCTCTGTGGGCCTCTGTGTGTCTCTGTGGGCCTCTGTGTGTCTCTGTGGACCTCTGTGTGTCTCTGTGGGCCTCTGTGTGTCTCTGTGGGCCTCTGTGTGTCTCTGTGGACCTCTGTGTGTCTCTGTGGACCTCTGTGTGTCTCTGTGTGTCTCTGTGGACCTCTGTGTGTCTCTGTGGACCTCTGTGTGTCTCTGTGGACCTCTGTGTGTCTCTGTGGACCTCTGTGTGTCTCTGTGTGTCTCTGTGTGTCTCTGTGGACCTCTGTGTGTCTCTGTGTGTGTCTCTGTGTGTCTCTGTGGTCTCTTTGTGTCTCTGTCTGTCTCTGTGTGTCTCTGTGTGTCTCTGTGGACCTCTGTGTGTCTCTGTGTGTCTCTGTGTGTCTCTGTGTGTCTCTGTGGGCCTCTGTTTGTCTCTGTTTGTCTCTGTGTTGTAGTCGTGTTGTTATAAAAGACACTTGCAGTACAGTCATATTGTACATACATTTACTGTTCATCTAAAATAATTCAAGGAATTTGCACCTGTTTTGTTCACAATAATCTGGGGGCTAAAATATCAAATCACACTTAAATTCAGAGTCTGTTATGTCAGAGCTAAACTGTCTGGAGTCTGGTTGGAGTCTGGCCTGCAGGTGGCGCTCTTGCTTTGTGCCTGTGGGGCCTGTTCTCCCTCAGGTCAGGTATGTAGGTGTGTGTTCAGCTCTGTGACTCCGTAGAAGCCAATATTTTGTGACCGCTCATTTTAAATAGAGTTTTGTTGTGCACGTGAGAGTGTCAGAGCTTCAGTTTGGACACGACACTTTATTTTCATGGCCTTAAATCTACAAAAATCGTGCCTAAAGTGCCTAACGTGGCCGTGTTTAACCACCCGCGCTGACGAGTCTTGACTATTTTCTTTTTTCCCCACAGTTAAACCGGACCGTTCACACAAACCTGTCGGCTCTGCTCCACGTCGCGCTCGTCCTCGTTGATCAGCAGCATGTACGGTTTCCGCGGTAACCCTGGAGCTTTGAGTCCGATGAAAAACAGAAGCCCCGTGCACGAGTACC